AAAGAAAGTATAACCCTGTTGATGACAGGACTAGTCTAAGGAAACTCTCAGCTAATAGATGACAAACAAGAAAACAACAACAACAAAAAAATCTATGTTCTGCAAGGTGTTTGAAGGCAGACAACATCCTATGAAACTTCCCCATCTTGAAAATGTTTGGCCAAAGTTTTTATCTATTCAATTCAGTAGACCATTGATTTGACAAGTGCTAACCAGAAGCTATGCTCTAGGTTCTAGCAGCTGGATTTTCTGTTAAAATTCGGTTGCTTTTTTATCCATATGCTTTTAGAATCATTCCACCCATGTTCCTTAGATTCTAGGAAGCATCTCTATTCGGTGACTTACCTTTATAATGTTTTTCTTCCCATCACTTTAGATGGTTTACAGAGATGCATAGCCCTTACAAAGTTACAATTTTATAATCCAAATTTATACACAGACACATATGTATACATACACATATCTATAGGCCAATAAGTAATGCATATATGTACATATAATTCTTTTTCACACACACACAATTTTTACAGCATTGCTTAATGTGAGATTACAGGCTCAAAGGACCCAAAGAGGATTCTCTGATCATTGAGGGGTTTTTTTGTTTTTGTTTTTGTTTTTTGCTGAGACCTCATACTACAATAGCAGCAACAACAATGTCACCAACCAAAATAACCAACAGGAAGAGATGGGTCAAAAAAATTGTGATATTAATATATAATGGAATGTTTTTCATTCAACCGTTATGTTTATGAGCAAAGAACATGAGAACATTTCACATTTTACACAGTAAGTGCTCAGCATTTCTTGAATTAATTTATATTTATATGTTTTACAATATTGGCATAATAATATATCCAAGTTAAATGCTTTTTCTCATTTATCAATATCATCATGCCTATAAACCCTCTTTGAAAATGCATTTTAAGTGACTACACAATATTTTATTATGTGTTAAAAAAATTAAGAATAACTATAATACTACACATCATACTGGCCCCAGGATAAAATTATAGATAGTTTTTTCCAGGGTTACTTCATTGTACCATGTTGATAAATGTTTGTTAGAGTAATTTTTTCTTAAGATTTACACATCTGTCTTTACCCTTCCCCACCACCAGAAATATGGCTCACATGGAAACAATTCTCTAATTATCTAAGGCTATTAAAGAAGATTCCATTGTGACTACCATGAAATAATTGTACTTGTATAAAATTTGTTTATAAGTATGCCCTTTCATACTGAGTATACCATTTGAAACTTAAAATAGCTCTATTACATTGGCATAAGCAAGCATTAATCTCATTTAGCAATGAAAATACTGACATCAGAGAAGTTAAGTGATTTACTCAAAGTTACCTGAATAATTAGCAGTGGAACCATGGCTTAATCTTCTGACACCAAATTCAGTCAGTGTCCTTTCACTGCATCTTTGGTCTCCTGCGACATTTTTCTGTAACAAATAGAAAACATCAACCGGATGATTTTCCATAAGAAGCACATGGCATTTCTTGACTATACATAACCAGTACCTATATACCAATATAAAAACTTATTTTTGTTGCACTGCAGTTCTGTTTTGTTTTCTCTTTTTTTAACTAAGTTTATTTAGCTGAACCTTAGGTATACTGAAATTCTAGGAGGAATATCTCTATTGCCTCAGCCACCAGATTTTAAGGAGGGTTCTAGGTTCTCATTTTACAATGGAATTGATAGAGCTTAACAGATGGCTAAATCTTAATTCTAAATTTCAGTACAAGGAGTCACAGGAATCTAGGTTGACACTGGGACAACAGGCAACAGTGTCTGAGAACTTCATGGTGCAATGGCCCCAGAGCTTTCCGTAGACGTAAAAATCACTTTGGAGAGTTTTAAAATGCAGAGTCCAAAGGTCTATTTCTGATTGAGCACAACAATTTTTGGGAGATTGGAATTAGAATTTGCATTTTAACAAGATCTCCGTGTAATTTTAATGCAGGCACTCCCCTCTCACCATAAACCAGCAATGTTTTATGTTGGGCATGAGCAGAGCTGCCAAACAGGACATTTTCTTTCTTTCCTTCAACATTACTTCCTCTAGGTACTCACTGGCCTTGGATTAAGGAAATTGGCACTAAATTGGGGAGTCTCAGGAAAAGCTGCCACACTGTAACTTGCCGCAGGCAAAAAGATCAGCCCATCATTTCTGGGAATTCTTAGTCATAAACCACATGTCATCAGCCATACCAACCCCTTAGTTCCATTTCCCTTCAGGTGAGACTGAGTCACTTCTCCAGAATGATGACAGCAATGGAAGATGGTAGAGAGAGAGATTTGTTACCAACATGGGAATAAGGAGAGCTTGTCTCACACAATTTATTCAACATACATGCCTCTGGGTACCATTAGTTCAGAAAAATCATTAAATTATTCAGGCTCCCGTCTAGATAAGGTCCTTTACCTCATATAAGATTCATTTCGGGTTTCTGATAGAGATAAGAGCCTAATCCCCATCTCATTTTGAAATTAAGAAGCAGCACCACGTGATGTTGCTCCAAAATGACATGACAGAAAACTTTGTCAACCTCAGTCTTCTGATAGCGGCAGAAATGTTCAGAACTGCGACATTGCCCCAAGCCCCTTCATATTTACCTGCACCGGAATATCAGTCTCACCAGTTCACACCCCTAACTATTCTGGCAGAATATACATCAGTTTAGAAAATCTCTAACGTCAGGCTACTACTGCCACCACCATTAATTCTAGCTGCAATACTACGAAATGATAGCTTGCATTTCCACACCCTCTTAAAATTTATTTTCGTACCAGTAATGTAAAAAGACCGTATTTAGATGTGGCCTTGATCCAGTTGCATGGGTGTGAGTCGTTAACATATTGTTTTTGAATCTAATTTCCCTCATCTGTAAAATGGAGCTAGTCATTCCGATTTAATAAGGTGTTGGGAGTTTGTAATGTCATGTTAAAAGTAAGAAGGCACTCTCTAAACTAAAAAACTGTTACAAACAAGATTATATTATCACTCTTCAGAAATCCAGGATGCCTAAGACGTTTTCCCTTTCATTTGAAATGTTATCCTGTCTTATGACGATGTCCCAGTGTTTCAGGATCTACAACAGAATGCCTACTTTGTTAGGAACTCTAAGGTCCCCTTTTGTGCAAGGTGGTGTTCATGTGATACAGCAGCAAGTGCATTGGATAATGTCAGAAAATCAGTGGTTTATTCTCATGACTCTTATTAGTAATTTAAGTTCCATGAATTTTATTTTTCTCACCTGCGAAAATGAGAATTAGGTCTATCTCAAAGATTTATTTTAGGACTTACATTTAGTATTTGTGACAGTGCTCATTAAAAATGTATATAAAATTATCAAATTACAATGAAGGGTGATTAAACATTACTATTCTGATTAAGTAGCCTCAGTCAAGCCTCTGGTATTATAATTTTATCTTTCTAGCTATGTGAAATTACTGTAATGTTGAAGTTTTAGGATCCAGGTAAGTTTTAGGGGTAGTTTAGGGTCAAAATCAATAGGCTTCGAGTCATTCCAAGTCCACCTTTTCATAGATCCATGCATATAACTCATCTTCTATTGAGCCAAGAGTCTGGGTTTCTAGTTCCTCCCATTTCTAAAGCCCAGTCCTCATCCTTCCTCTTCCTTGTTAATCTTGTCTTCTATGTTGATAAATATTTTTGTTCCATAAGGTAATTTTTAGTGCAAACTTTTTGTCTTGGATTCCATTTACTTCTGCTTTCACAATTTTTATTAAAGAAGCTCATACAGTTTTATAATTTAGACTAACATACATTTATTAAGAGTGTAATATCAGCCAGCCATTGTGCTTTATGCAGGTGACTCCTGAATTTATATCTTTAGTGTTTAAAGTTCTCTTCATTTCTAGTCTCACAATTTCAGCTCTCTACCATACGTCTCCTAGAATTCCCAGCAGCACTGATAATAATAATAAATAATAATATAAAACAACCCTTGTGGTGCCTAAACCCAAATCCTCTCCTACCTAAACTTTTTTCACCTTGCATTCTTGTTACTGCTTCTATAATTTTTCAGGCTATAAATGTATCTTTAATTGCATGGTTGCCACATACTGACAATGTTTCTTTCATGATATTTCTCAGACATATTTCCCTGACAACTACTGATTTTTTTACTGTCTCCATAGTTTTACCTTCTCCAGAAAGCTGTAAAGCTATAATCATACAGGTTGTAGCCTTTCAGACTGGTCTCTTTCACTTGGCAAACTGCATTTAAGACATTTCCATGTCTTTTCATGGCTTGATGGCTCCTGTGTTTTTAGTGCTGAATAATATTTCGTTTTATGGAAGTAGTGCAGTTTATTTGTCCATTCACCTATCAAAAGGTATCTTAGTTCCTTCCAAGTTTTGGCACTTATGAATAAAGCTGCTATCAACATTCCTGGGCAGGTTTTTGTGTGGACATGGTTTTTCAATTTGTTTGGATACATACTAACCAGCATGATTGCTGGATCATATCGTAAGAGGCATCCCTCAGTCTCATAGGGGATTGGTTTCAGCACCCCTGCAGAAACCAAAATCCATGGATGCTCAAGTTCCTTATATAAAACGGCATAAAATTCACATAATGTATGCACATCCTCCTATATACTTTAAATCATCTCCAGATTACTTATAATACTTATTACAGAGTAAATGCTATGTGAGTAGTCGTTATACTGTATTATTTTTATTGTAGTGGCTTTATTTTTTCAGATATTTCCAGTCTGAGTTTGGTTGAATCTGCTGATGCAAAACCGTTGGATATTGAGGGCTTACTGTATTTAATTTTGTAAGAAACTACCAAACTGTCAACCAGAGTGGCTATACCATTGACATACCATCAATAATAAATGAGAGTTATTGTTGCTTCACATTCTTACCAGCACTTGTTGTTGTTAGTGTTTGGGATTTAAACCGTTTTAACAGGTGTGTAGTGGTATCTGTTATTTTAATTTCCTTTTTCCCCCCCCAATTTGTCTTGTTTATTCCCACAAAGCAGCCAGGGGCGGGGACACCAAGCCAAGCCCAGCGGACCACGGGACCTTCTTCCGAAAGGGTGCACGCTGGGTTTTCAGGTCTGCCCCACCATCAGCTGGTTTGCAGGCAGGCCATCATGGGTGCCAGGTGGAAGGCTCCGGGGGCGAGGGCAGGGGCCTGGACAGGGCTACATACTTGTGGAGCTAGAAATAGCAGGGCAGGTCCTTCTCTATGACCTGGGGCTCCTCCATGGGTCCGCACCACTTCACCACACAGCCATTCTTGTCGATGAGGAACTTGGTGAAGTTCCACTGGATGGCATTTCCTAGGAGGCCCTTGCCCTTGGGCTGGATCTTCATCCACTTCCACAGCGGGTGGGCGTCATCCCCGTTCACGCAGATCTTGCTGAGCGTGTCGAATTTGACGTTATAGACAGTGGCGAACTCTTTGATCTCTTGTTACCCCCCGGCTCCTGCTTCCCGAACTGGGGGCAGGGGAAGGCCAGGATCCGCAAACCACACTCAGCGTGTGGGGCGTGCAGGTCGACAGGCTGAGCGTAGTTCACTTCGGTTTTGCCTCATTGGGAGGCCACGTTGGTGACGATGCACACGAAGCCCCGGTACTTGTCCAGGTTAACCGTGTGCCCGTCAATGTCCTTGGCGGAAAACTTGTGCGTGGAACGCGCACAGCGCCAGTCGTCCTGGGACGCGCACGTGGTGCCGGCCAGGCCCGGATCGGCCAGAGCCCCACAGAGCAGTGCGGGCTTCCCGTTATTTATTATTTATTTTTTTATTTTTTTATTTTTATTTATTTATTTTTTTTTGAGACGGAGCTTAGCTCTTGTTGCCCAGGCTGGAGTGCAATGGCGCAATCTCAGCTCATCGCAGCCTCCGCCTCCTGGGTTCAAGCAATTCTCCTGCCTCAGCCTCCCAAGTAGCTGGGATTACAGGCAGGCGCCACCATGCCCAGCTATTTTTTTTGTATTTTTAGTAGAGACGGGGTTTCACCATATTGACCAGGATGGTCTCGATCTCTTGGCCTCCTGATCTACCCGCCTCAGCCTCCCAAAGTGCTGGGATTACAGGCGTGAGCCACAGCGCCCGGCTCCGTTATTTTAATTTTTTAATGACATGTTATGCTTAGCATCTTTTAGTATTATTACATGCCTTTTATATATCTTCTTTGGTCATAGATTATGACCACTTTTTATTTGGGTTGTTTTCTTATCGTTGAGTTTGAAGATATCTTTCTATATATTGTATACCAGTCCTTTGGAGATATATTTTGTGCAAATATTTCCCCTAAGTCTATGGCTTATAGTTTCATTCTCTGGCCATGTGTTTCACAGAGCAGTTTTTAATTTCAATAAAGTCCAACTTATCAATTTTTTCTTTTATAGATTGTGTTTTTGGTGCTGTATCTAAAATGTTACCACAAAACCAGATTTTCTACATGTTTTCCAGGAGTTTCCCAGTCTTGCATTTTACATTTGGCTCTATGAGCCATTCTGAGCTAATTTTTGTGAAAAGTATAAGGTCTGTGTCTAGATTCATTTTGTTTTGTATGTGGGTGTCCAGTTGTTTCAGCATCACTTATTGGAAAATCTATTTTCACACATCCTATTGCCTTTGCTCTTTTGTCAAACGTGAGTTGGCTGTATTTGCACAGATTTATTTCTGTGCTCTTTATTCTGTTCCATTGGCTTATTTAATTTTGCCAATACTACACTGTCTTGAATACTGTAACATTATAACAAGTCTTAGGTAGTGCCAGTCCTTCAACTTTGTTCTTCTCTTTCAATATTGTGCTGAATTTGCTGAAAGATTCTTTTATCATGAATGGGTACTTGATTTTATCAAATGCTTTTTCACCATTTATTGATAGGATAATATGTTCTTTCCCTTCTTTAGTGTGTGTGTGTGTGTGTGTGTGTGTGTATATAAAGTGTGCATATATAAAGTGTGTGTATATATATATAAAGTGTATATGTATAAAATTTATATATGTATACTTTAGTGTATATATATATATGTACAAAGTGTGTATGTATATATATATACATATATATATACACACACACACTAAAGAAGGGAAAGATCACATTATCCTATCGATAGTGTATATATATATATACACCAAAATCATCTACATTAGGTATTTCTCCTAATGCTATCCCTCCCCTAGCCCCCCAGCCCCTGAAAGGCCCTGGTATGTGATATTCCCCTCCCTGTCTCCATGTGTTCAACTCCCACTCATGAGTGAGAACATGTAGTGGTTGGTTTTCTGTTCCCATGTTAGTTTGCTGAGAATGATGGTTTCCAGCTTCATCCATGTTCCTGCAAAGGACATCAACTCATCCTTTTTTTGTGGCTGCCTAGTATTCCATGGTTTATATGTGCCACATTTACTTTCTCCAGTCTATCATTGATGGACATTTGGGTTCTAAGTCTTTGCTACTGCGAACAGTGCTGCAATAAACATACTTGTGCATGTGTCTTTACAGTAAAATGATTTGTAATCCTTTGGGTATATACCCAGTAATGGGGTTGTTGGGTCAAATGGTATTCCTAGTTCTAGATCCTTGAGGAAGCACCACACTGTCTTCCAGAATGGTTGACCTAATTCACAATTCCACCAACAGTGTAAAAGCATTCCTATTTCTCCACATTCTTTCCAGCATCTGTTGTTTCCTGACATTTTAATGATCACCATTCTAACTGGCATGAGATGGTATCTCATTGCGATTTTGATTTGCATTTCTCTAATGACCAGTGATGATGAGCTTATGTTTGTTGGCCACGTAATATCTTCTTTCAAGAAGTGACTGTTCATAACCTTTGCCTACTTTTTGATGGAGTTGTTTTTTCTTGTAAATTTGTTTAAATTCTTTGTAAATTCTGGATATTAGCCCTTTGTCAGATGGATAGATTGCAAAAAATTTTCTCCCATTCTGTAGGTTGCCTGTTCACTCTGATGATAGTTTTTTTTTTTTTTTTTTTTTTTGCTGTGCAGAAGCTTTTTAGGTTAATTCAATCCCATTCATCAATTTTGGTTTTATTGCCATTGCTTTTTGTGTTTGTCATGAAGTCTTTGCCTATGCCTATGTCCTGAATTTTTTTTTCTTGACAAGGTCTCATTCTGTCACCCAGGCTAGAATGCAGTGGTGAGATCACAGCTCACCACAGCCTTGAACTCCTGGGCTCAAGAAACCCTCCCACCTCAGCCCCCAAATAACTGGCACTACAGGGGCATGTCACAATATCTAGCTAATTTTTTTTAACTTTTTTTTGTAGAGACAGGGTCTTCCTATGTTGCTCAGGCTTTTAGTCTGTTGATGTGGTATATTAATTAATTTAGTGAATGCTGAAATAGCCTTGCATCCCTAAAATAAATCCCACTTGGTCATGAGGTATAATTATTTTTGTATGTTGTTGCATTTCATTTGCTAACAGTTTCTGGAGGATTTTTGCATCTGTGTCCATGAGTGTCAACTACCTTGTGATTTATGGATTTTAAAATGTAGTTGTAACTGTATCATAAAACTGCTTCATGTAACTTGTCATTTATTGTGGATTTATTTATTCATTTTAACATGAAGAACTCAGGATGTTATATTTAATTTGTCTTATCCCAGAATGTAGCAAGCTGTGTGGCATATAGGAAGATATTAATAAATGTTCATTCATTCAACTGATCAACTGAAAAAGTAACCATGTGATAAGTAAGTGCCTATTTAGATCCCTCTCTGTGTATGAAACTGGGCTAATTAATGGCAACACATGGGTGAATCAAACTAAACTCTGTCTTTATGGATATCACCAGACATTACTTGAGACATGGTTAAATTAGAATTGTTATAATTATATCTACTCTAAATCTGGAGCCACAGTCAATGTACAAATTGGCCAAACAACAAGATCCTCTGTTTGAAAGCTAATTCTCTATATTGCAAAGCAAATTTTCAGTAGATAGTCAAGGTATTTAAATAGCACAGATTATAGTTGGAACTGCATCTATAATGCAAACAAAGGGGTTAAGAAATAAAGTTTGTGAGGTTGGTGGATATGGGACTTTTATTTTTTCTTAACTTCTTTAATCAGTCAGTTTAATTTAATTCTTTCCTCCCTGATCACTCTCCTTCACCACTAACGTTTACCTAAACCCCACAATAAACAATGAAATGGATACTCCAAGTATGAGTAAAGCACTGGTAGAAAGTGTTTGCAGTAACAAAGGCAGGACAGATGTGTGTTGTTGGTTTTTCTATTTAAGTGCAATGCAGAACCTTGTCACAGGAATCTGAAGAATAGAGGCAGAAAAAGTAATTCTTTATAAAATGAAAGGATATTGGGTGAGGCTAGTCATCTATAAAGATATGTCTTCAGTCATTATGTCATTTATTGAACAAATGTTGACCAAGTTCTCAGTATGTGCCAGGTAGGCCTTATGGTAAGTGCATTTGAGATGAATAAATCATGATCTCTATGCCTTCAAGAAACACACAGGCAATTAGGAAAGATAAGATATGCACATAAGTAACTCTAACACAGTGTCTAGCGTAGTATAGGTGATCAATAAGTAATTATTGATATTTAATTTAATCAATTCAGTAATTATTTATTGACCATGTATTACTTACCAAACACTGTTCTAGGGGCTTGAGATAGACCATTGAACCAAACAGACAGACAAAATTCTTGCTCTCAAGCTGCTTCTGTTCTCGAAAGGGAAGAATTTAATGGTACTAAGAGAAAGAAGTTGCTAGAACTCAAATGAGAAATACAGATAAAATGTTACTAGCATTCTATTGAAAGACGGTATGGTTACAGTGGATGGGGCAAGCCAAGGAATGTCATCCATGCATCACAGTTCCATTTTGTTTTGTTTTCTGTTCTTTTTTAGATATTCAGAAGAAATGTAATCCAAGAAGAAAGGGACAGATGAGTCACAGTCTCCAGTGAGCAAGCGGGCGTGCATGTGTCCTGGATCCTCAGGCACTTTGTTGTATCTATATGCATTGTACATGTGGCTGGGGGTACTAAGAAAGTTGGAGAGTTAGATGAATGCCTATAAACTTTAAGTTGCATGGCTCTATAGCACGCAGAGGGAAACAAATGATTTTTAAACAGAAGGATGATGTTATTCGAGTGATGTTTCCAGAAAGATGGATGTGGTAGTGTTATCGAGAACTAAAGAAAGGAATTGGAGGCAAAGGCATATTTAAGTTAATTTAAAATAGCAAAAAGGGTGCAGGTGGATCTGTTCCAGTCTCAGGACAGAAGCTGAAGTTTGTACCCACAGACTATGCATCAAAGTTTGTGGTCCTGAAGAAAGGCGCCAAAATACTAGAGAAGAATGTTCCCCAAAGGCATTGCTGGTCCTTCCATGCCTACCTTGATATTTATACATTTCCTGAGGAGATTCTACTTTCTCTATGGAATGATGTTACATAATCACTCAGGAGTTTGACTTCAAGGCCCGCACAATCTATCTATTGCATCACACATGACACAACATCCGGGCTCAGAACAGTCTGTTAAGATGATGACTCTACTTCTGTGCTCACATTTGCCTCTTGGAAAAAGAAGGGCACTCTTGTCTTCAAAATATCTAACTTCTTTTCATCTCAGTAGTTGTGGCTACACCTTATGTCCTTATCACATTAAGCTGAAGAAATAAGAGCAAAGCAGAGGGAATGAGCAGAAGATACCACAGCTTTGCTTAGAGTGCTTACTCTCAGGTGGGGAGAGAAATAGTGAAAAT